CTTTCCCGCATTTCCAGTCCCGTTACCAGTGGTTGTCATATAGCTATCGCACAACTTCCAGAGAGCCATCTTGCCCTACCTGCTTCTCTTGTACACTGTCTATAGGTTGCTAGAATGGTTTTTCAGAAAGATAAAATATTCCTATAATATTGTTTCTGCATAGGGACTATGATTAAAACACCATGACAAAGGCAACTTATAAAAGAAAGCATTTAATTCGGGTCCTATGGTTTCAGGGGGTTAGAGTCCAAGACTGTCGTGGTGGGGAGCTTGGCAGCAGGCAGGCAGGCATGGTGCTGGAGCAGCAGCTGAGAACTTATATCTGGAGACTGTAAACTTTGTGGTTTTTGAAACCTCAAAGCCTGCCCCTGGTGACAAACCTCCTCCACAAGGCCACACCTCCTAATCCTTCCCAAACAGTTCCACCAACTGGGGGCCAAGTATTCAAATATATGAGCCTATGGAGGCCATTCTCATTCAAACTGCCACAGGATACAAATGGTTTCATTTGGCACTCATGGTCTTCCCCACTGTTGCCTGGATATATTTTATTCACATTCCAGAGTCTGTTCTCTCTGTTCAACCACCCAACAAAATCTTACCTATTCTTCAAGGTGGTTCAAATGTCACATTCTTTGTGACCAACTTCTTGATCCCCAGCCTTGCATTGGAATTCACTCTAATCCCTGTCATGTAGCAACTTCCTTCTAAGTGAAACGTTCCCTCCAGGGAAGAGAGGAGAGGCTACTGATGTATGAACTTCATATATCGGAGATAGCCAAAACATGTAAGATCCACAAGACCCCATCCAGAGGTTATAGAAGCAGAAAGACATGCTGGAGGTAGAGACTATCTGTGGCCAGCCTACCTGCTAGAAAGGAGAGTCTTGGCTCTGCTGAGTTGCCTGCAAATTGTGCAGGGAGCCCTAGGACTGCAGCTTTAGTGAGCTTCTGGTATTGATTGGGATGGGCTTTTCACTGATATAGCTACTCTTGCATCACCCCTGCCCCTATAAATAACCCCTCACCAATACTCCTGTAGTAATCCCAATAAACTCATTCGCCAAGTCAGACTTTGGCGTAATTGCTACTTTAGTCTGTCTTGGATTCCTTTTCTGAGATCAATAGTGGTGTGTGTGTGTGTGTGTGTGTGTGTGTGTGTGTGTGTGTGTGTGTGTGTGTTTGTGTTACAAGTATCGCACACTCGCACAACTGCCTCTCTTGTACTTCCCAAGCTACTAATTGTTCTTTTAAGAGGTAAATAGAATAATGACACCCACCATCACAAACA